GCGCACGTAGGTCGCTTAAAAAAAAGAGCAAAAAGAAAACGCTTAACTAATCGATAATATAGCTGCTTAGAGACTCGACGATCGTATCTATGATGCTGTGTGCTCCGGGTTTTCTTTTCTTTCGTCTCGCTTATTCATTTATTTGTTTTACAATGGCAGAGTTCTTTCGGGGAAACTCCGTGGTAAGGGAATCACTGCGTTTATTCGTTATCTTTCTCTCGTCCCCTTTCGCACGATTCTAGCAAAGGTAAATAGATAAACCTACGACAATTAGAACGTTCATTTAATTTAGTCAGATCTCTAAACAATAAATAAGGATTTCTTTGCTTTTAATAAATAGTAGTACAGAAAAAGTGTTAATCGAGTAAGAAGGTGTTAAGAAAAAAAAAAAAAACATAGAAAAATACAGAGTGGCATGGCGTTTGGGGAGGTTCTCCAACGATTTCTCGTTCGTTTGCCCGTCGTTACGTTTTCTTGTATTTGATTACTTAAAAAAAAGAAAAAAAAAGCCGTAACTAATAATAAGGAAAAGATGGCGGCAGTGAATAAGAAGGGGGAAACTATAGGTAGAGGAAATGGAGGTGGAGAAACAACCGAAGTTCATTTGTGTGAGAATCGAGGAGAATTTTGATTTATGTTACGCAATCGGATGCACTTATAGTTTTCCCATTGCTCGTCCTTCTCTCGGCTCCTCGTCTATCGAAAATTAAAAAGCTCTCTGTGCGTCTTACATCAGATAGGGAGGGGAGAGGGAGAGTAAATGGAAAGAGACAACATAAATGCATCGACACGAAGTACGATCGAAAGCTTTGAAAGTGTTGGGCAGGCACCTGTAGAAATAGAAGCGGCAGCGTGTCTAGTGGTGGGATTTGAAATTTTTAATCGCTTGGAAAATGTCTTGAAACGAAAATATAAGCTTGAAATTCATAAAAGTCTCGACTATCTTGAAACTCTCGATTCTTTTGCAAAACCTTACGACACTGCTCGATGCTTTGAATTCGTGTACGTTTATCTTATACGAGTACCGATGAGAGAAAGAAAGATTAGTTTTGGAAGGAATTACGTGTCGCGTTAGGTCAGACGTTTTAGTCAGTCTTCGTATGACCTGGCGATTAAGAAAAGATTACTCGATACTGTCCACCATTCCCGTTAAACCGGGACAGTTCTTTCTTTCTCCCTACAATATCTTTATTCCGATATTTTGAGTTTACATTTAGACGACGGTTCAAAGTATCTGTAGTATTTTGCGTTTCTATTCACCTTTGTACCTATTACTCTACTAATCATTAAGAATATCAAGACTTTCAATCGTAAAGGTATTGCAACTCGTTTTAAGACACTTCGAGTTTGCTGATTCAAGATGTCTCGTCTTCGAATCTCGTTGCTAGGTGTGTCGACAGGAACGAAAAAGTAGCGGAAGAAAACAGAATTTATTACTCGGTGGGGAGGGGTGAGGGGAGGAAAGAAGGAGAGAGCCCCTTCTCGAGGCGGTTCGAATACTCGAAAGACACAAAAAGGTGAAAATCGAAAAGGTCTCTCTAATAAGATATCCTTTACGCTCTAACTAATTATCATCTGCTCGTTTCGTGCCTACGATCGTGTGTAATATCGATAGAGATCTATGAAATCTAAATATTAAATCCGCTGAAACTATCGACATTCTCAAAACTTCAGGTCGCACTCGCAGGTTCGTCGCTAGACACAAATAGTTACAGCTGAAAGAGTTCTTAAAACCTTTTCTCTCATTTGTTTCTTCTATCGTGGTCTGCCGGCCGAGCGAGTCTCTCTTCTATTATTGTTTAATTTTCGTTAGCCCGCAGAATTCGTTTGTCATTGTTTCGGTATCGTTCGGCCGCAGAATTCCGCGGAATACACGTTGGGGCTCATCCGGCCGGAAGTCCGCGAATCGCGTGACTTCGTCACCCTCACACGCTTTACCTTACTCTCTCGTTAACTTTTCATTTTAATACGAACATTTAGGAAGATAGCGCTATCGATAATTAATATCTTTTTGAAATTTGTTAACATTCTCTATATAAAAATCTGCATTTGCGTGTATTCGCTTATTGCTTCTTAAATCGTCGCCGTTTTTTCAGTAGCTTTCCGGGTTTTCTTTCTCCCTTGAACTCTAAGGCCTCGCGATCGTCTCGCGACATCTCGCTCGGATTCTCGCCGCGGGTCGAACGCGAGCTCCCCAGGGCTTTCCTTTGCATTATCCGAATGCAAACGGAACGACCTCGAGTACTAATCTTTTAATCGAGAGACCCGACGCCGCAAACGGATCGAAAGAGGATAAAATCAACTCCACTTTTCGACATTCTTTCGATGCCGGAGGCCAAGATTCCGCCTTATCTCACGCGTCCGTCGCGGCGTCGACCCCGTCAACTATATTTCTACAGCGTAATTCGTTAAATTAAGAATAAAAAATTTCCCGTGGCTCGCCGGACACGCTCGGAAGCGTTCGAGCCGCTCGTCGAACATCGATCGTCGAGCGTTCGTCTTTTAGACACGAGTGCATGCATCTCGGGTTCCAGTGGCCGGGGAGCAGTCTTTAAAATCAGCGAACGCGTAACAAGATACAGGGGGCCATCCATCGCGACGAACGAGCATCGATCCAACATCGTCGCGAATGGATCGCGTGTTGGAACATGGACGTCGCGTTCGCGATGAAACTGTTCCAGCAACCGTTGCGTCGAAAGGAAAAATCTACTATTCGCTGGCAGGCAATCGCTAATACGTCTCGCTTGTACAATTCGCGCGTCAGTGTGCCGCGGAAACATCCGGAAAAGGATCGTCTCTCGTTTCTCTCGTTTTTTTTTCAGCTATCGATTCGTTCTCTTCCCTCTTTAGATACGCCTTGATATGTTCACGTTACCGAGGGACGCGTTCGACGCGAATTTTTCGGTACCTTTTCCCGGACGTCTCACTTCTTTTCAATATAATCTATCTCCATTTCTCTCTCTCTCTCTCTCTCTCTCTCTCTCTCTCTCTCTCTCTTTTAACGCACATCTATAGGGAGTTTTTTGGCGATTCGAGGATCGCGCCTTCTCGATTCGTTCGCACGGTCTTCCTTTCCCTCACGCAACCATTTTTCCCTCGTTCACGCACGCTTTCTCTCGTTTTCGCATATCATTGGCACATGTTCCTTCCTCTTTTTAATCTCGCGTCTCTTCGTCCGCTTAATCGACAGGTACCTACTACACGAGGGGAGGGGGAAGTGGGGGTTTCGCATGTACAATATATTTCTTATAGGTAACGCGAAGGCAAGTAAATTGTATCCACGTCTCGTCTTCGCCTCGTTTCGTCGCCGTACGAAAAGTCTAGGCTGGGCGTTGCAGCATCCGGTTTCGCAAAAGCGTCCCGGACCGACAATATTTACCCGTGTGTATACGCGCGTGGACGTGGCTCTATGCATGTGTCGTGTTGGCGCATCGATCGAGCGTTATCGAAGAGCTACAAAATATTCGTTGTACGGGCGCGACAAAACGCGGCGGTAGGCTCGCAACTAATAACGTACGCTTGGTTCTTTGTTTCTCCTTTCATTGCTATTCGTTATCCTAATTCGAAGAGCGCGCAAGAAAGTTCGCGCCAAACTTTTAGGCTCGTCCGATGCTAGAAGTTTCGTTCGCAACGCTGTCAACGATTCGCTCCTATATCGGCGCTAAACGAAAACGTTAATCATAAGAAAATAAAGTACGTGAACATTTGGTGCAATCTTTCTGGCACGATCCGTCAAGGAGAAAAGCTGCGACCAAGCGTGCTCGGTCATTAATTCTTTAGGCCGTCTATTTCTTCGTGCAATGGTCTGTACCTCGAAGGCGGTTTGATACTCGTCGTTCGTCGACTCGATCACCGTCTGATGCAAATCACACTGCGGAGAAGTAATCGGGAACGCTGTAAAACAACGGTGGCGTCGTCGTAGAACACATATCTTGGATCGAAAAACGGAAAGTCTACGGACACGTGCCGCGTGTCTCTACGTGTATGTGTACCCGTTCGATGAGCAAAGATTCAGTGCGTTAGACAGTTTCGACGGTGAGCACGCTTTCGTTCGATAGTCTGACGTCAGGCAGAAGTTTCCAAGAGCGCCAGACGCACATATTTTCGCTTCGTCGCGATCCTCTTAATTTCCTATCGGTGAGATTTAAAACGAATTTTCTTGTCGTTCGATGAATGATTTTTGTTCGTGTTCGTTTGTTAGCAACGATAGCAAATCGCCGTCCATTTTGATTAAACTCGACCTTGTCGCATTGAAAAAATCATGAGCTGCGTCTGACGCCGATAGAAAATCCCAGCTTGAGGACGACCACTCCGTCGCTTCGAGCGGTAGCGTAGAGTTTCGTAGGTGTAAATCTTACGGCAATGATTATACGGGTGGCAGTTTCATTAATCCCTCGTCGCGGTGATCCTGGCGAGGATCGACTCGCGGGGATGCGATATCTAGGAAGAGAAAGACGAAGTCGACGCGGCCGACTCGGTTTTAGGCCGTCGCGGCATATCATCGATTCACGGATCGATCGATTCGATGAATCGAGTGAGATTCTCGTGGAACGGTTGGTCCATTTCTGCGTCACACAGGGTTCGCGGGGGAAGATTCTGAACGTTGATTTCCGTTCGTGTGAGTAATTGTAGACGCGAGCCTCGCGGTCTCCCGGGTCCCGTGGGAGGCCGAAGTAGTTTGAGGAAATTTGGTCGTCGGTTGTTGCGGTTCCCGAAATTCTCAAGAGAGCCGGCCGGATCACTCGCCACGGGTACCATCAGGGGCGTGGTTATCGCGGGCAAAGGTTAGTTTCTGTCCGAGGAGACCTATCGTCGTGACTAGGATGCCGCTAGGATCGTCGTTCCTCGCTAGAACCTTGACCGGTTGGCGATCGGTGCGAGAGATCTCCGCGAAGGAACGATCCGGCAGGCCGATGAGCCATCGAGTCCTGTGTCGATCGCGGGATCGCTACCGCGTGAAAAGGTTCTTCGGAGAAGCGCACCGACCGGCCGGCGCGCGGTTAGACGAGAAAGCCCTGCGTCGTCGCGGACATCTGCGCTCGGAGCGCCGTCACGCTGTTCATGATCTTCTTCTGGTGTCCCACCAGCGTCACGCCGAGCGCCGTCAGCTCCTGGACGGTCACCCGGGCGGCTGCATCCAGGCTGGTCACCCCGGACCTCTCGAAGCTGTCCGCGTACCGTGACATCTTGATCGAGGCCAGCCACTCGCCGACCGAGGTCAACTGTGTCAAGTCCACCGCGTCCGGCGCCAGTGGATTGGTGCCCCTGAGAGAGAATTAAACGTTAGACGACATTCGAACAGCTCACCGATATCGGTGGTTTCGGGGATCAACGCGCGAGGGACACTATGCGAAAGACCAAAGACCTGGAGTTCTTTCGTTCAAGGTTCTACAGGTCGTCGATATCTAAGGACAGAGCGAAACAACGCAGGCGCCACTCGTTTTTTTCGATGTTCCGCCGCGTGTCCGTTCTCGAGAAAAATTCAGCGCCCTCGTTGTTCCGCGTCCGGGGGGGTTGCCAAGACTTCAAGTTCACTCTGGACGTTATTACTCGAATAATTCTAATTATTATTGAAGTACTTCTATAGCGGGAGGGGATCAGCCGCTTCGACGACGACTTTTCGGTTCGATCGTCAAAGCGGTTGTACTCGTACGCTACCTTAGATCGGTTCGCACAAAGAGGAGCTGGATGTCAAGGTACGTTTATGTACACGGGGTATCCATTAGTTGGAAAAACGATAAGATACGAGGTATCTCCAAGTGTTTCGATCGCGGAAAGTCTTCCTCGGCAACTTACGCGTAGACAGGACTACGAGTTGGTAATTTTGTGATTTAGCGACTTTTTCAATTTGTATTATTTGACTCTAATCCTTTTTTTTAATGCATCATTTTATCACTGAAATAAGAAATCAAGTAAGGGAGCTTGAAGACAAATTATATTTAATCACGAAGTAAAATAAAGGGTTATAAGGTAATTCCGATTTATTATTAATTAGTTTAATTATTCGGAACGTGGTACACTTTATACATATAGGTTACGTTTTAATTCACAGGTTTAAAAGGCTTTTAAATTAAAATGTCATTTTAAGGTCAACGTTTCCTGAGTAAGTTTGGATTAGTGTTACAAAAAGAGAACATTTTTTAAATTTGGCGGTTTCTTACTAAATTAATAATAAGTTTACTAGTTTCTCAAAGGCCCCCGATTGATTTCTTGTTTTATAATGAAATTAAGCTTTTTTAGACAAAACTGGAGGCAAAGAGAAAAAATGACAACGTCACTAAATTGTACAATTACGGAAATTTTATAATAAACCCTTTTCTAAATAAAATAATATTTTTTTACAGTAGTAATGATCGACTTATGAATTATGATTTTTTTTGGTCGTCTTCGGAATAAAAATGCAAATTAGTAATGAAATAACGTTATCAAATAATACGTTATAAAGTATAATAATAATACGTTTTTATTGTATGCAACTTGTTGACATTAAGAAACTAGAATTGTGTGAAAAGAAGAAATTATAAATAAAGGTACAGCTACATGATGTTATTAATCTAACCTTAGGTAATACATATGTAGTATAAAATAAAATCTTGCAGTTATAAATTTGAAAAAAGATCAAAGTAAACATCAAAAATGTTATTTCATTATTAAATAATACTATTGTTTCAGAGAAGATGATCGAAAACATTCATAAATTATTTATTACGACTATGTATCGTTCTAATTATATTTACAAAATTTATCGATCTTCATACGGCGTGGACAAACTTCATAGTATGATCGGAAAAAGGGAGATTCTGAATTATAAAATGTGGAACAAAGTTTTCTACGCGAAGCTTCTTTCGAAAATTTGATGACGACATGTTTCTCCATTGTTGGCTGCATCTACTCGCATCGATCTTGTAATGTCTACTTTAATTCATTCTAAATAATTCGAAAATAGCAGTAACGTAAACAATCGTCAATGTTTACAAACATTAACACAAGTAAAAATAACACGTAACGAACGAACGGGTTAGTCCCCAGTCGTACATCGAGTACTTCAAGAATCTTTAAAATAGATTTATAAAATCTATTTCTTTTATTTCTTTCTATAGATAAAAGGATTGTTTTCCACATTTTCGGTTTACTTCTGTACAAGGAATCGTTTTATCGCGACACGAATCTTTGTCCAGGCTGTATAAAAATTTGGTTATTCGTCGGACGTAGAAGACGTTCTGCGAGCCGAAATGAAATTCGGGGTTAAGTGGGTTGCTGGTTAGGGGTCGAATAAGTGTGAGTCGAGTATCGACAGTCTGCTACTAATTTACTCGGTTGGTATCATTTGCTCAACAGACTTTTACGGGTATGGTACGGTTATAAAACGGATCTTAGCCTAAGAGAGGGTCGATAATATGTATCATTATGTACACTTGGACCGGGGCGCGATAACTTTCCACGACCGCGCCTGAATTCTTGGCCTGATTCGCGTATCGAGCAGTCTCCTGCCGGCTGCAGGAGAGCGGAAAGAGGAACTTTAGCAAAACGTCGCGCGAACGCGATTAAACCGCGGCCAAGATGGTAGAACAGGCGAGGTCGCGAGAAGTCGAGCCATTTGTGGATCGTTGCTGGTGATGGTGTGATCGATGGTGATGACAGTGAGAGTCGCTAATGGCGGTAATGAGAGTACTATGCCGGTGTGATTACGTTGACGGTTGTACACACACAGATTGGCTGGACGTTTTACGTAGAAATACGTGAATGGATAATGGTGCGTACGAAGCAAGCAGTGCGATACGAACTAAGAGGGTACAAGCAGAGCAAATGCTGTCTACGTGGCAGCAATACTCGGTAGGTGAATCCAACGAAGCGAAGAGAACGACGAGCCACGCGAAGGGATATGCACGCGGGCTACGTTCTCGACCAAGTATCGTTTCACCGAAACCGCGTGTCGTCGCTGGTGGCTCGTTGCTCCTTCGTTATTTCGTACTTTGTTTACTTTTTGTCGGCTGAAAGCTGTTCTTGATTTTGTTACCTTTTCCTCAAATGCACGTTGGAGGATGTCGACGAGGCGGGTGGGGGTGGGGGTGGAGCACCCCTTTCCCTGATTCTGACAATTGTTAGCATTTGTTAGTGCGATGGAGGTCACACACTTTGGTGTGTGATTGTGTATTTGTATTGTATATGTATGCGTGCATGCCTGTGTGTGGGTAGATGTTTTGTTTTCTTTACCTCGTCTCTGTTTCTTATTGCTCCTTTCCACCGATTTCTCTCGAGCGAACGTCGCGTGTGTGTTTGTGCGGGTGTGATCGTGTGTGACCGTGCGAAGCTCGCATCGTCGCGTTCGTTTACGCAAATATCCGAGATAATTAGCGCGCTTAAAAGTCAATTTTATTTCCGCGGGCGATATAAACGTGGATGCCTAAGTTGATTGTCCGTTTCGATTTTCTCTCTTTTTTTTTCCTCCTCATCGTCGCGACGCAGTTCGATCGGGAAAAGAAAATCGTTAGAGAACCCCGTCGTTTCGAAAGAGCGCCGTAAACTAGTCCCCTCCTTCTCCCCTGTTTGCCTCGATCGATCATTTTTCCTACAATGGTGTTGCGCAACGTATACGTAACCACTACGATCGACTTTCCGAAGTTTTCTTCCTAAAAGGTAAGTATGCGCGATATAAAGTCGCGATCGATTGCTCGGCGTGGAAACACAGCCTGGGCATCGTGCACGGTTTCTCTGTACGGTTTTTCCGACTTCTCTTGGGTTCAAGTAGAAAAATACTATTCTAATCTGGTCTCGAACGGTCGCTCTCGCGCGATTAAATGCTAATAAGTCTTTGCAGTTTTGTTCGCCGTAAAGTCGATGATGTCAATAAATACTATATATATCCGCTTTTCAATAATAATAATAATAATAATAATAATAATAATAAAAGTAATAATAATAATAATAATATTTACGTATACTCGTGCGAGATGTATATTTATATATATATATATGTATTACGTATATCAAGAATTAGAAAAACATCTGAAAGACTATGACTGCATTCTCACGTACAACATGTCTCGTGGATAAAATCCTCTCTTGTCCCGAGCCTCGAGCTCGAGTCCTCTCCTATATTGCTATTCGTTGGTTCGATTCGTCCTCTATAAATTCTCGTTACATCTACGAAAAAACTGCTCTCTTAAAATTTTCCATTTAAATCCCGCTAACTAGAACCATAAATATTCTCTATACGACTTCCACGTGGCAGCTAAAACCGATAAAATCTACCGCGCTTGGCGCTCGCTCGAACATGGCGATAAAAAACATTACTCCGCTCTTTCCGATAAGTAATATATATATATACTATAATTTTTATATATGTACGTGGATTCGTTCGATCTCGATCTAGCGAATCGATAATAATTGGGAAATCGAGAAAAATCCTTCCTCTACGACGGCTAGTCCGCTACCATTTTACGCACACCTAATAATACACGCTTTCAAACGGAATCTCGACTGAGATCATCTACGAATTTTACCTAACGCGCGATTCTCTAAAGAAACACGAGCAAAACGTTCTAACATTGTGATCCTCCGTCCGAAAGGAAAGCGTCCTTGCGGAAATTTCATCGATACTCTCCGGTATCGGACCAAAGCCGTGCGAGTATTTCTTTGGCGAACGTCGTCGGACCGAAAAAGACGATGATTCGTTCGAACCTGTTGATCCAGTCCGTCGACAGACCGGGAACATAGCTAAGTCGAACCACGGCTCGTGGGAAAATGACAGGCGCATCCCCTTTGCGATCTTCGTTATTACGATAAGAAAGAACAGAGAGGACGCGTCGTCTTCCGCGCTGACTCTTTCGTGACTTTACGGATTTCGAATCCAGCGATCGGCCGGCTTTGGCCTTGGACCAATATACCGCGAGGAGAAGTTGAGAAGATAAGGGTACTTTTCGGTCCGCGCAACGAACCGATCGAACAATTTTACGAAAGATCCCTTGGACTTTCGACTTTTCCTCGCTGGACTACCAAGAAAAAGAAGAAGAATAAGCAAAAAGCTCTCGATAACGGAAACAAAGACCGATGATTTATCGCTGTTAACCGAAATGCGTGAACGGGACCCAGTTAGGGTAAGTAAGCGGTGGTTGCTGTGGCAATGCGTGTGTCGCTGCGTGTGTGTGATAGTGTAAGCTACGGCCGGCTCCTGGTGGCATTACTGGAACGGCAATCGTCGACTGGGCTTGATGGGCCTGATGGCCGACTACGTCTACGAACTGGCCCGTGGCCGCGGCTGGAATCGCAGCGGCCGCTGCCGCGGCCTGTGCGGCAGCCGCGTGGCTTGTGACATAGTATGGATTGTGTGCAGGTGGCCTCACGCTGTTGTTGTTGTAGTTGTTGTTGGAGAGTTGTAGATTGGTGGTAGATGGTAGTTGTCGCAGTTGCGTTCGGTTGCAGTTCGTAGTCGGGTACCAAAGACACCACAAAACCAAAACCACAAAGAATTAGCCCAGAAAAAAAAGGACGTCGTCGGTGGGAGGAACTGAAAGTTTTTTACTCGGGAACTGGGGAAACGACGGTCGATCGATCGATCCATCGGACGATATCGTTCGTTTGTCGATAGAGTCGTGGATCGATCCTGAGAACAGGAAGAGGAAGAAACGCGGCCGATTGCGACTCGTTCCGTTTCACCGAAAACGCTTTCACCGCGTCGTCGTCGGCGACGATGGCGGCGATGGCGGCGGCCTGTCTGAAATCCAACGATAATCGATTGGTTTCGCGACGCGACGCGACCGATCGATTCATTTCGAGCCGAGTGGTCCCGTTACGATCGTTTTTCTCGAGATTGCCAGAAAAATCCGGTCTAGATTTCTTTTTTTTTTTTTATCCTTGGTTTGTCGCTGCTCGTAACACAGATGTCTTTCTCGTATTCTTTATTAACGATCGGCCGGCGATAAAGTGGAACGAAACGTCCCGACTCTCGAGTATCGTTTGATCTCGGCCTTTGTTCGCCTTTTTTTCTGTTGTTCGCGGCAGAAATAAGTGGAGGTACGAGGATGGACGGATGGACGGGAGGTTTGAATGGTAGGGGGTTCGAGGATTACAGAAACGATAAGCGCTAAAGCGATAAAAGCTCTCTGAAAGCCACCGCAGTACGATGCGCACTTATTTTTCGTCGTTCTCTTGAAACGCGAACGGAAAAATTATCCCACGGGAACGATCGCGCCAGAGACTTTCGTCCATAAATTAATTTTCCTCCCAGCAAGTAGACGAAAACAGAGACGGAAGGATAGGTATAGCAGATCTTTTTTGCGCGTTCCAAAGGAAGTTAAGCCGTTCAAAGCGCAGAATTACGCGCGCAAAGCCACTTGTTACCGTTGCACAACTTTCGAGCGACCATTTCTCGCGTCGCGTCGGAGGAGGCGTCCCGCTCATAACCGGATTACGTACTCCGTCGAGATTCATCGAAAATATGTGCTGCAAACAAGAAAAATCCAACAGAAATTTTTTCGCACAAGCGGATCTTCTGCTCGTCGCTCGCGTTTCGTTTATAGTCTTGCGTCGTTTGAATTTCAAAGAGAACGAGAAGCGAGGAAGCGGAGGCGATGTACAAATTAATTTTGACGACTTCGAGCTACGGGAAACGTAAGAATAGATGACAAAAAAAAAAAAATAAATAAAATAAATAAAGAAAATAGGAAATAATATATAACAGTGTCCAGAAAAGCAATCAGCTTCGGAAAAAAAAAATGTTAAAAAGGTGCGAATTAAAATCGGTCCAGTATCATATTTATATATTTATATATACTATTATATGCCCGGTTCCAGTAATGCCAATCAGGTCGAGGTATTTTCACGACGCCTCGAGCATAAGACGTGCACACGGAAATCTCTCTCTGTCGGGTAGTCGCACACACACATCTCGTGATCGTATTGTCCCTGGACGGTCGACAGATTCGTCGTTTATATGCGTGACATCCTATTTACGAATGAGCAACAACAATATCAAAGCCCAGTCTAACAGCGTACGTGGAGAGCGCAGAGCGTGTGAGCTTCTTAGTATGTATTCAGCAAGAGAACGGAAAAAACCTTTGGCTGTCGAGAGAAATTAATTTATGGACACGAAGTGTGATTCGCGTGACATGCGGCATGATTCGTGTTAAGAGATGATCAACGAACGATTCGGTGGTGTGTCGCGATCAGAATCGTTACGGAACCAGTTTAAAAAATACTACGTGACAATCTTTTTTTCTTTTTCTTTTGATGATCCGTGTCCATCGAATCGTTCGCGCGATGAAGGCAACGACATCGTAGGTTTGCACTGTTTGTTACTACATCAGTCCGTAACAGAAATTTTCCCATGTAGCACTTCTCTGCTGCGAGTAAATCTCGATAGATCGAAGTATGCGCAACGATATCATCGCGAACGCGTCTCAGCGCGCGAAAGACAGAGTCGCGAGCCGCGAATAGATTCTCACAGCGAGTAAGGATGGAGACGTTTACCTGTTCTGGGCAATTTTCCTCAGCGTTTCCGGGCTTCGTATGAGCTTGTCCAACGTCTGGGTGAGATTCGCGAAGGTGGGACGATGGGTCCGTTCCTTCTGCCAACAGTCGAGCATGAGCTGATAAATTGCCTCCGGACAATCCATCGGCGCTGGAAGCCTGTATCCTTTCTCGATCGACTTGATCACGTCCTGATTAGACCAATTCCAGTACGGCCTCTCGCCGTAGGACATCACCTCCCAACAGACGATGCCCATGCTCCACACGTCTGAGGCGCTGGTGAACTTCCGGAACGCTATCGCTTCCGGAGCTGTCCATCGCACCGGGATCTTTCCACCCTTTTTGCCGGAGTAAACAGTCTTTCAAGATTCGATTGTTGAAAGCCTTTGGTTCGAGTAACCAGATCGCGAGAGAAAACTGGAAAAATGCACAGAGAACCGACTCCGAGTCTCGAGTCTCTTACTCACCCTGGTCGTGTACGCTCCTTCCGTGGCACTTTCGATCTCCCTGCTGAGCCCGAAGTCGGCGATCTTGCACACCAGGGCAGCGTTCACGAGCACGTTCCTCGCCGCGAGGTCCCGGTGCACGTAATTCATCTCGGCAAGATACTGCATACCGCTCGCGATACCACGGAGCATCCCGACCAGCTGGAGCACTTGGAACTTGCCGTCGTTCGCGCGAAGGAAAGTGTCCAGGCTACCGTTTTCCATGAACTCCGTGATGATCATCACCGGGTTGCTCTTGGTCACGACCCCCTGCAGGAATATCACGTTCGGATGTTCGAACTGACCCATGATCGAGGCCTCGGTCAGGAAGTCGTTGCGAGCCTTGTCCGCGGAGCCTGGTTTCAAAGTTTTGATGGCCACGTCGATCTCCGTTCGACCGTCGGGCGGCAGCTTCAACTTCCCCCGACAAACGTCGCCGAATTCCCCGCCACCTGTCGACGGAACGCAACAACCATCGCGATAGTGTTAATCGGTGAGATCGAACCAGATCGGTTTCATACGATGAAAGATCGTATACCTATGATGGCTTCTATCGTGATGTATCCCGCGTCGATCTCGCGAGCGAACTCCCTTACGGCCTGATTCGGGTCCTCGTAGGTGTGAGGATCGACGTAACTCCTCGCACCTGCACCACCAGTGCCTCCTGCACCTGCGGCGGCAACCCCCACTGCAGGTGTGAACAGCGGCGTGGTCACTGCAACGTCACCAAAACAGAGTTCATTATATTAACACGAGGGCCGGTGTGTTAAATTTTGACGGAATCTCGGACCGCGAGAGCGCAACCACTCGCTCCGTGCCTGACAAACCGTTTCATCCCGTGAAAACACTCACACACCCTTCCTCTTGTAAACGAGACTCGGTTACGGTCAAGTTTAATTTACAGAAAAAAAAACAACACTATTTACCAAAGCTTATTTTTGTGAAAATCTCTGTTTCAAAACTCTCTAACCTTGTCTCGGATTTTTATTTTGAGAGAAATTCTCTTTGTCGCGAATATATTATTCATTATTCTATCGTATCTAGATTGTTTAAAGATCAACGCAACGAAAAGAATTATCTAGCTTTGCTATATTTAAACAGAAAAAAAAAACAGAAAATAGGAAAAAAAACAAATAAAACGAAATGCCGCGCATAATAAATTTTCATGCCAGCGTAGAAATTCTCGCATGCCTAATACGCCAAACGATCTCGATTAACGATGCATCGGATTGAATGACGTTAGTCGTAGTGTGCACGGAGTGCAGAGAGGATGCTCCGGTCGAATCGAATTACTTCGTCGTCTGTTAATTCACGTGTCCGCGAATGCATCTGCGACCGCTCGTCACTCTGCGTGAGCTCGATTAATTCGAGTTCCACCGAAACATCCAGCATTTCCCGCGCGTCAACGCACTGAATTTGTACGGACAACGATCGTCGGAAAGATCGGTGACTGGCTGAAAAAGAGAACGATGCAAGAGACACGAGAACACGATGCAAACAACAAAGACAGAAAGATAGGATTTGGGCATGCTTTCTTTCGTGCTTCTCGTCTACGTAAACATCTAAGACGGTCAAAACGGATAGAGAGAAAAAGAGCAGATCGTGGTACGAATGAAAAGTAAGAAAAGGGTTCTAACAACGTGTTTTGGCGTGTCTGAGTTCGAACGAGTGTACGGATGTTGTTTTCTGTTCGTCAAAAGAGAGAGATAGAGAGAGAGAGAGTGAGAGAGAGAAAGAAAGAGAGAAAGAGTTTCGTGAGTGTCGGCGCGGTACCTACTGGCAATTTTGAACGTGTTCTTTTTAATTTTTGTTTTTTTACTTGGGACTGACTGAGGACTTACGCGAGGACTTGCTCTTGTTGTTGGTGTGGGTTGTCACAATCGGTGAACTGTCCATTTTGCAGTGCACTGTGAACAACACAACAACCAACACACTAATTGACAAACAGCAAACAAAAAGAAGCGGTGGGTGTTCGATGATGAATTGAATGACGCGAAGCGAACTGCCGTGGCGAATTGGAAAATATGGATAAAAAAAAAGTACAAACTGTCGGGCGCACGATGACGGACAACAAAACGCTCTGTAAGATCGAGGTAAACGCGATGGTTTCCTCGATCTTGTTCGCGGTTTTCGTCTTCGTCTCTCGTGTATGGATAAAAATTACGTAAAAAAAAAAGAAAAAAAACATATAGAATGACGCATGGAAAATCAAACGAGTGCAGTGCCAACGACAACACACTAACAACAAATACGCATGCATAACGATAGAGACACAGACGACGTAGGCAAGCACGAAGCACGAGCACGCACATCTTTCGAGTACGTTTGCTTTTCCCGCGGGGGAATAACAGAAACGAGCGTCCGTTTGATGGACGGGCGCGGCAAATGGAAAAGCCGTGTGCGTGCCCGCGCTTTGAAAATCTGGAACGCGTTGAAAAAGATGCATGTACAAGGGGGTGCATGAAATAATCTACGCAAAACCGAGTTCCTAGAAAATAAAACTTGAGGTGTTGGAGAAGACTTACTGTAGGTCACAACTAGTCCTGTAGTAGCAGGCGATTGTGTACATTGTTTCAGTGGATTTTTTCATGGATTTGTTCATGGAGGCAGGTTCGATAGATTAGGGGAATCGCACATGAAAAGAAAGAATCGAAAGAATACGGTTAGAATAATGGTACTTCGGCTGCGGGCCGGATCGGTGAATGAATTTTGCTCGTAAAGCGATCGTCTCTCATCGGTTTCTAGTTCCTGGCCAAGTCGTTTAGACTTCGACAACTTTCTTTTCGCATTTCTCTTCGTTTTGTTTCATTTTTCTTTAAACTCGAACCACTTTTCAGTAATCTTTCTTTCGTCGAAGAGAGAAACCTTTAAAGTAGTGGGTGTTCAGCGACAACACATTATCGTGGGGTACTGTATACATGAGAGAGAAAGGGGGGGGGGGGGTGACTGGGGTCGATACTTGCTGGGTCTAACGGGGTTTGGTGGTCCAAAAATATTAGTCACAAGACACGAGGGCGTAGTGAGACAACTATGAAAGTGACAGGGGGGTAGTAGCGATAATAAATTTATAAAGAAAAGAGAATCAAGCCTGTTGGCATCGGACAAACGTACCTTCGCCGTTCCTGTATTCCAGGGTATCGCAGTCGCTCGGCTGTTTCTTGTTACACTCGTCCGAGGCCCTGCTGCATCGAAATGATCGCATCACATCAATAGAGTCAAATCAGGAAAAAAAAAGAAATAAAAATCAGTCGGTCGACGTTTAATTCGCGCGCAATTTTTTAACGTCGAGAGCAATTCGTTTACCTTCTGAGGATCAGAACGGTCATGATGATGATGATCACCAGGAGAACGACCACGGCCACGATAGCTCCGGCTATGATTCTCACTTGCATGTTGTCGTCCTCTCCAACGTAGTCTGTAACGAAAACGTACACGTTGAACGATCGGAGTATATACCTCGATCGCACGAATCGACGTCGATAGTCACCTAGACCCATTGCGTGAGGCGTCTTTTTGAACACCACCGGAGTGTATTCGCCCCAGCCGCGCGTAGTCTTTGCCCGTACTTGTATCGCGTAGTCGGTAGATGGTTTTAGGCCTTTGAACGTCGCCGAGAGCTCGGTGGTCTGGATGACGGTGGCATTGGTAGCGTCGTCGTAGCGGGGATAGCACCTCACTGAAAAGATTCTTTCGTTAGTCCTGCGTGGGTGGAGGATACCCGGCGACGCGAGCACGAGTCTCTCACCTTCGTATCTCTCGACCAGATCGCTGTCTCCACCGATCTCGGTTACAGGGGCGTCCCAACTGATGCTCAGCTCGGAACTTTTAACGCTAGTGATCCTGACGTTGTTCACCAAACTGGGCACGCTGGCCTCGGTGGTGACCGTGATGTCCACGTACTCGGATTTTCCAGCTAGCGACGATACGCCGTTCTCAGCGAACACTTGGAATCGATAGGTCGTCACCGCGTTCAGGCCCGTTATCGTGATCTTCGTGTCGTTGAAGATATCCTGTTCGACGAAACAACCGGATGATAGAGTCTTGGTCCGACAGAGTTTTCAGGGGAGAAAGATGGAAAAAGAGTGTTACTTACGGCGTTGGGAATGTATTTGACGCCCATGCTACAGGCATCGCAGACCACCCTGTAGGTCGTATCCGTCCTGCCACCCAGCATGTGCGGCGCGTTCCAAGACAGCATCACGGTGGACTGGTCCACGAAGTTGACCGTTAAATTTTGTGGCGCCGAAGGCGGTTCTGCAACGGCAAACAATTAAACGTACATTTCGTTTCGACGATAGCGAAGCAGACGAAAGACGAAACCACTCACGTGTACACGGCATCTTCTTGGGGTCCTTTTCCGCTCTGTAATAACCCGCGATGCATCGACATTCCGAGAAGGCGTAATCGGGAGACTTGCTGTACGCTGGGCAGGGCTCGCAGCTGTGCGGACCAGCCTCGTGCTTGAAATTACCCTTCTGGCACTTGATGCACTGTTGCTTCTCGATGTCAGCTTGGTATCCTGGCTTGCAGTGACATCCGCCGTTCGGGAGGTACCACTTTCCGTCCCCTTTGCAGAGGAAGGTGGGCTCCTCCATTACCATGGCGTTCTCGACGCAAGTCCCGATCGTTTGCTCGATCAACGCTACCTCGCGACCCGTCGGCGTGGCTGGAAAGTGGGCAAAGTTGACGGATATCTCCGGACAGCTGATGTAGTAGACTTTGATAGCCAGGATGGAGATGCAGGCGCCCTGGTCGCGGAATGCAAAGTATACGCCTCTCTTGGTCACCGGGATCGACTTTACCTCCGTATTTATCATCACTTCCGTGTTCGTGTTGAACCTCCCTTCGCCAGCGGCGATGCGACCTGCGAAGCAAACGCGTAATTTGTGCTCGTACTACGCTCGACGTGTGTCCTCTGGCTGGAGAAAAGTTTCTATCGAGGTCGAAAAGTGTGCGAGTTTTGGCAAGCTTACCGATCAACTTGTAACTCTCGGTCTTCCATGGCGGCGGCTCCTTGGTCGCCGCGTCGAACTCGTAGTAAAGTAGACTGAAAGTTTCTTTGCAGCTGAGCGCGTGTCCGGGGAACAACGAGCAGTCACGGGTCGTGAATTTGATTTCTATATACACGCGGTTCGCCGGTCCCCTGTCGATGAACGGCGTCCACAGCCAATTGTTCACGTCGCTGTACGCGACGTCGCAGACAACGTAGCTCCGCCAATTGATGCCCTTGTCGAAGTTCGTGAACGACTCTTCCACCCACTGCAATCAACCGAAAACACGGGACGATCTTAATTTCATGCGATCCTTGGCTCGTTAACCGCGGGGAAATGCCACGCGATTTTTCCTTAATCTACGCGTGTGCGTCGAAATCAACCGCGATAAGATAAACGCAGTTTAAATAACGCGGGACGCCGCCGAGGGATCCCCTTTCGGGACTCTGCTAAGAGCCCTGGCTGTTTGCGTTCGGATTACGCGAGATTCCACCGAGTCAGCATCTACGAAATCAGCTTTTCTCCGACCCTTCGAGTCGCAAGTTTCTCCAGAAGCAGAGTTCTTACGCCCCCGCGCTTCAAGGTCTTTTTATTGATTTCAACCATCCCCCTTTGATGATATTTACAGAAACAACGAAGACGGATTACCGTCTCCGGATTTCGAGCTTCCAAAGAATCCGAGCCGGACGACAAAGAGGATGCCAGCCGTTCGGCGAGAAGATTTATTCTGGCGGGGAGGGTTGAACCTGATAGAGACGCTTTTCGATCTTTATCGGATCGATCGCTAGACAACGAGGGAGAAAGAGAGTGAAAGAAACAGAGGGTCCGCGTCGTGGTCCATGTCCGATCCGAGGAATCACTTGTCCGTCGACGTTGGACGCGGTATCCTCCCTCGGCAAATGACGAGGCGGAGTGGCCAGGTCGTCGACTTGCGACAAACAGACCGCAAGGAATTACCGGCGCGCGTTACCATTAGTTTTATTGCCCCCTTCAGCTTGGGCTCGTCCCGAGAGAGACCGCAAAAAGTTCCGACCGAGCAAGAAGGACCCGTCGTCGTCGTCGTCGTCGTCGTCCTTCTGCTCGTCGACAGACTTCTCTCATCCTCGTCTCTATTCTCTTCCTCCTTCGATACTCGCGGAGGAAGGACCTACGTAGGTAAGAACGGACAAAAACCGGGTAGATGGAGAAGACCGGGCTTCTTGCCCAGAAAATTTTCTTGCGGACGTGTTTCCGGCAGGGAGGCCGCAATAAATTCAGCCGTACGGTTACTCGGTAGCACAAAGAGATTATTACGGGTAAAGATGACGAGCGGCCCGTGAAAAAAACGAGTTCGTCCGTCTTGGTACGCGGAGGGACGAAGGACTCGTCGACGATCGAACAAAATCCGAGCAAATCGCGCAACGTTAATTACCGGTGTTTACACAATTTATGCTCGAATCGAGGAAATCGGTCATCCACCGTCGCCGCAGAATCCTGAGACGCGGAAGACTCGCGGTAATATTGTAGCGCGCAAAAACTATTAGAGGAACGAAGGAAACTTCTAGAGATGTTATTTCGACGCCTCCGTCGGAGCTTTATCGCTTGGGAAATTGCGTTACCACGGTAAATTCCACCCCCGTTCGTTTCTCTTTCCCTCGACGTCTCTCTCTTTCCCTTTCCTCGTTTCTTTTGATGCGCTTTTACTTCATTCTTTCGCCGGGGCCTTCCGAGCTACCGCGAAGCGAAAAAAGACAGAGTACGCGCGTCGTTAACGCCGCGGAATTTAATTGGATCCCGCCGAGACGTCCTCTTTTAACGTGCCGCGTCAATTTTTCGGCGAGCCGGATTTCCCAGCGGCGCGACCCCCCCACCCGTGAAATTACTCATTAGTAGTGAAAAAGAAAAAGGAACGGGGGAAAAATTGCGACATTGGCCGAAGGATATAGCCGTAGGAATTGATTCAAGTAGGTACAGACTTTATTGGCGAGAGACCCAATTATCGTGACCACCCCTATTACCGGACAGTGAATTCATTTTTTAAAAGTTTAGGAAGAAACAGCAAGTAATTATATAACACGCTGACTACTACACCAAAATCGCACAAAATTTTAGACAATCGTAAAATCTCACACTAAAATTTATTAATCGTATTCAAATTTATTTCAGTTCCAAAAAGTGAAAAGTTTTGTCACCCATGTATGGATGATAAAGTTTTCAATTGTTACAATTTTTTAAATACAATTTAAGCGTTTCATTGCGTGCGCAAAATAAAAAGTTCTATTTGTCTGCTTCTGTTAAACAGAGTGTTAGAAGGGTTGATAAAATAATATCTTTATTATATTGCCGTATTAAAAGTTACGAAAGTGCGAAGTCCTACGTTTCTAGCTTTGAAATTTACCCGTAATAAACTGCTTTCATTCATCATAAGCTCTCTTTTGCTTTGCTTCTGATCATTTCTGTGTCTCTATACTATTTTTGGTTAATTAAATTTAATCATTTTAAACCTTGTACTCGTATACGATTAGCACAAAGAACTCTTTGAGCAATCCGGTTAGTTAACTGCGGGACAAAAACTTCGTCTTTGATACACAAAATCCACTCTACAGCAACGCCTTCTTATTTACCCGAGCTTTTCCTTACAAAACACGATCATCGCCGCGATGAATTCTTTTTCACCAGACGCGACAACGACCTATCTTTTCCCATTTATCGTACATCCAAATACCACGGTTCTTTCTCCGACAGTTCCTCTTATTACTATAACTCATTCTCTCTTCCCTCCCGCGAGTCACTCTTTACGAACCTTTAACTCATTCAAGAGCTACAGGCTTTCATCGTTGAATATTACCAAAGGTAATTCTTTGTTATTCCTCTGCTAGTTTTATTTTCTTTTTCAACTTTTTTCTCTGAGGTTCATTTTATGCTGCTTGTTTTATTTTATTTGTCACACCTTTCGCGTAACATACTCTGTGAGAAATTTTATTTATCGACTCTCTAATAGCGTTGGCATTTATGTTTTTATACTATCAGAAGCTTGTCTACGATTTTTTGTAGCTTGATGACTTTAATTTAATGTAGAAACATAAGAGTTCGATCAAATTAATTTTTGTCGGAAGATGTACATTTTTATATACATTTCCCTCTATAAATCACCGGACACTTGACAAAAGTAGAATATAAACAAATGAACACTGTGGAGCGATGAAAATTATAAAATGAAACTTAGTTATTTGTTTCATTATAAAGGAAACGTAACACATATTGTATGTCATGAATTTACCAAAATGTTAACTTACAATTCAAAATTTTTATTTCACGACAATCGTACAAATTAAGGGTAGAACTCTATTTACAATTATTTTTCGGAATTTTTTTCAATAATATTATTCCAATCTTTTCGTAATATTGTCCATGAGTTTTTTGTTTTTAAAATTATGTTCAAAATTTGCTTCTTTGTACAGTCTTGCTTATTTTAATTTCATACGAGCGTTATAAAATTTATATTAAAGTAGTAATTTAAAATGATTAAATGTAAAAAGAATTTTCAACAGGGTGAAGGAGTAATGTGTATTGGTTATTTGTTTGTATTTACGAGTCTGTTCCAGCTGTATAAGTTAGTAAAAAAGGGCATTGTTTGTTAAATTGAATTATTCGATCTTAATAATAATAATAAAATTTTTGATACTTCCTCAGCCACGGGTGTAAAAAATAGTAATTCAATTCTAGACATAACAGTTAAGACTAAAGTTATTATGACCGGTCAAATAGGCAATTTTTTAAATTTCGTTTAGAATTTTTTACATACAACGTTATTTTAACATCATTTAACTTTATGACTTTCGTTATAGTATACATACAATGAATTTTTGAATATTTCTTTCCTTATCGTTCGTTTTGATATTGATATTCTTGATTTTCGTCTTATTTTGACCTCCAGAATCTCCCATTAAAATTTTTCCCAGGGGTGGTCGAACACTCTGTATGTTTTATCTGCATTCGATATTATAAATATTTTAATACACGAAGCGTCGATAAGTTCAGCGTTAAGCAAACAAAACTAAAATTCCTTTTAGTAACTCGTGTATCGATGTCCAAGTCCCGCGTGTGCTTTCGAGCATCGCTGGAGATTTTAAATGAAATTAATTACATCGGTTAACGTGTTTCGCGCCTCGGCTTTGTTAGCGTGCTGCATGCGAGATTAGCACGAGAGCTCCCGGGCAATTTCGCTTTTTATCGCGTGAAGCGGCAAATTCGCCGGATTTCGGCGCTCTATCTCCCAATTAGCTACGATCGATCGATCGATCGACGGGACGCGAATCTATCAGCCGGCATCGACATCGGATAATAGAACGCGCATTGACGGAACGATCGCGATAGGAGTAAATCGAGAGGCAAAAGCGAGCGGCCGAACACGGTCGGAACGCGGCCGCGGAAAAATATTTCCGCTCGTCGTCGCGTTTAATTGCGACGCGTGTAACGATCGCGATATTCTTCCCGCGGACCGCACCCTCCAGCAGCCCCGGTCACCGGGAAAAATATCGTTCTTCCGCGTCGATCGTCGATTATTAACTCGGTCGGAAATTGTGTCGAGCACGGGAGTCCTCGATGTCTGTCGACTAGGGTGGCCCTTACTTTTTGACTCTCGATTACTTTTTGACGCCCCCCCCGGATTGTGACACTTGGTGAAAAAAAGTTCTGTGCAAAATTTCAGCGAGATTAGACAACAGGAACACGTGCCGCATTTAACTTACAGTTTTTACATTTTTATGATTTTGCGTTAGAGTCGGTTGCACTTGTACCATCTTATACCAAAGTTGTCGACTGATATTTTTTAGTGAAAATTGTTGAGGTTTTTACTGCACAGTGTTTTATATTAATGTTTTATTTATAACAAGTAATGAGAAAAACAATTAGCAGTATGACACGTGTTACATTACATTACAGACTGCTAATCAATAAGTAATTCAGCAGGTGGCGATCGATTACTTGATCTAGTTTATCGACACAAGTGAGATTTACGATTACGTTTTGTCTTGTTACTCCTGACAAAAATTATAATTCCTTATGTCAAACACAACAACGTGTGTGCGATTTTCATTGTTATATTTAGAATCCTATACAATGCAGTGCCTGGACTAGAAAAGTGTAGTACATATTAGTGTACTTGAAAAATGGTTGCTACAACGGATTGCAAATATCCACAAAGACATATATCTAATGGAGACAGACCTGAAGAACGCGGTGGTCAACGAATCGGACCATATGTTTCCATCCAATACATGGGAAACC